GCCGGACCCCGACATAGGCCCCACCCCAGCATGGGGGCCGAGAGTAGGGGGGAAGGAAGGCATGGTCTGGGGGCGCCCGCGGGGCTCGGCTTTCCCGCCTCAGGTTTCTCCTTGCGCCAGTGACATACTAGGCGCCCAGCAGCTGAAGTGGGCACCGGCTGTCCCGGGCTCAGCACGTGGAGCGTGTTTACCAAGTGTTCACTTTTGTTACCTGCATTCTTCCCAGTGCCAGCTCTGCCACCGAGTGGATGTGGAGCAGCAAGTCCCTGCCCCTCATCGGGCCTCAGTTTTCCCTTTGTACAACAGAAGGGTTGGCCAGAGTAACCTCGCGCGTGTTGAGAAGTGTGATGGGGCACTTGGCCCGCCGGGCGGAGGTTTTCTCTGATGTGCCAGGATACTTCCTGCGAAGGGTAGGGCCGCAGCTGACGGGGCGGTCCCGGGCAATTACCTTCTGGGGCCCTTGCGTGCTCCCTGCCACTTTGGGACTTCCTCCGTTGGGAGTGGGTGTCTTCGGTTTTGGCGAGATGGGGAGGCGGGCGCCTGGTGGCCCTGTTCTTACCACATCCTGTCCGCTGGAAGGCCACTGAGGTGAATCCGTCTAAAAAGAGGACCGGAAGTTCAGAGAGGTATATTGCTGTATTGGGACTTTACATGGGAAAAGAAACTAAAAATGAAGAAGATAAATTAGTTTGAACCGGTAATTAACAGTAGAGACACATCTCTTTTTATTGCCCTTCACAAGATGTTTTGTTTTAACAAATTGAAGGTTTGTGGCAACCCTGTCTAGAGCGAGTCTGTTGGCACCAACGGCATGTGCTTAATTCGAGTCTCTGTGTCACCGTTTGATAACCCTCAAAATATTTCAGACCTTCCACCAGCAAAAAGGTTATGACTTGCTGAAAGCTCAGATGATGGTTAGCATTTTTTAGCAATAAAGATTTTTAAGTTAAAAAGGTTTTTTTAGACATAATGCTATTGAACACTTACTAGACTACAGTATAGTGTAAACATAACTTTTACATGCACTGGGAAACCAAAAAATTCGTGTGACTCGACTTACTGCAATATTTGATTTACTGTGGTGACTTGGAACCAAACCTGAAATATCTCCAAGGTATGCCTGTGTTTAGATTATGGTTGCAATCATGCATGCATTAGAATGAACAAAGTATCGGCTCTTTGCAGCAAGAGGATCAGTTTTTGCAGAAGTATTTGGGGTTTCACTCCCAAGGCTCACTATGAATCCTTTGATAGTCAAACAGTTCTCTCTGGAAGTTCTTGGTCATTTCTCTTACAGAAGTTCTCTTCCTCTGTGGTCAGCTGCTGCTCCATTTCCACGGCATCACTTCCATCAACTTCATGAAATCTCACGCTTTTTGCAAGATTTGCAGTTTCACTCATAACCATTTGCTTTGTATTTGCGTGGTTAAATGTTAATAGCATCTGACAGTCAGCTAGGGACTGATTGGGGTGGGGATATGTGGTGGTTGAGAGGGAACCTGTAAATGTTGCAGTGGCTGGCCTTTGCTTACTGTGTGTACTTTGGACCTGAGAGATTCAGATATTGAGTACTCAGAGGACTGGAACATCCCCATTTTAAACTTGGGGAAATGCTCATTGAGGCTCTTGGCTCAGGCTTACCCAAAGTTTCACAGCCAGTAAGGACAGCCATGACCAAGAGTCTAGAGTTCTTTACCAGAGTTTTCTGGAGGTGGGGATACAGATACTGAAGGTGGAGGAGGCTGAGTTGATGATGAACCTAAGCCCCAATTATAACAACATCACAATAGGGCTCTCTCTCAAGAAAAGAAACAAATATACTGTCCTGGGGTGTCTCTTGCAGGGGGTGAGGTGAGGAGAGCTGCCCGCTCATAGACCCTAGCTGTGTGTTGACCATAGGGTTGGGAGTTCACATGAATTAACTCAGTCTTATAGCCCTCCTATGAGCTGGGTGTTGTTACCACCATCTCACAGTGAGAAAGGTGATCCTCAGATCAGAAGCCCGGTGACAGACTCAGGTCACACGGCTGGGAGGTCTCAGAGCCCAGATCTGACTTTCAGTTTTCCCATTCTCATTCCTTTTGCTAAAACCACGCCTCCTGGCAGTCTCCTGGATGCAGCGCTAATCTGGTGTCAGCCTCCCAGTGGCCCCTGAGGGGCTTCTTTCCCCAATTTAGCACAGGAGGGTTTTGATTGAGGCTTGTGTTAGTATTTCCCACACTTCCGCAGTTCTCTGGCCTGTGTCTCTGCCGCCACTTTTTGCCATCAACATATAGCACTTGTGCTATTATTTACTTAGTGTTTTTCTTTCAATCATTTCACTTTTTTCAGGACAGATGTGTATTTTAGGCTAAATAGGAAATCTGTTGTCAGGTGCTGTAACTAGAAGAAAGTCATAAAAATAAACAACATCATCAGTCTAGCTAGAAACTTTCTCTCTGTTAAAAAGGGATACAATTTGTACACCCATGTTCATGGGAGCATTATTCATAATACCCAGAAGGTAGAAGCAACCCTAGTGTCTGTTGGTGGATGAATGGATAAACAAAATGTGCTCTATACATTCAAAGGAATATTATTCAGCCTTAAGAAGAAAGGAAATTCTGACATATGCTACAGCATGGATTGACCATAAGGACATCGTGTTAAGTGAAACAAGCCAGTCACAAAAGGACAAATATTGTATGATTCCGTTTAAATGAGGTTCCTAGGGCCAAACAGAGACAGAAAGTAGAGTGGTGGTTACTAGGGGCTGTAGGGAGTGGGGAATGGGGAGTTAGCGTTTAATGGGTGCAGCGTTTCAGTTTCTGGAGGTGGAAAAGCTCTGAAGATGAAAGGTGGCCATGGTTGCAATATGAATGTACTTAATGCCACTGAACCGTATACTTAAAAATGGCTAAAATGGTAAATTTCTTGCATATTTTGCCACAATAAAAAATCACTAAAAATCAGGTGTCTTGTTTTCTATGTCCAATAGAAGGTTGAAGAATGAAAATCAAAAGGACAGAAGGCAGTGGTAGAAAGAGGTTAGAGACAATTTAATTCTAAATGGGTGCTTCTGGTTGCCACTGGGATTGAGAAAGACTGAAAAGTAAATGACTTTTTCATGGTGTGACTCAGTAGTTTATCTAAAGGCCTGTCCGGGGTGCCACTTACTGCCCTCTCACAGATCACCGGGGGAGCAGCCCCCATGTGGAGGGACACTTCACTAGGGCTGGGGTGTGGCTCTCCCAGGCTGGGGAGTGGGAAGTGGCTTGCCTTCCTCCCTGCCAGGGGGACTGAACAAGGACCTGACACACCTCCTAAAGCGGAAGCATCTGGAATGTTTTATAGGGGAATTGGAGTCAGGAAAGGCTTCCCAGAGTAGGCAGGACTGGGCCCTAAGGGATGGAGAGGAGCTAGCGTGCCACCCAGGTATGTGTGTGTCAGAGCAGGAACAGAGCAGGGAGATGGGGATGAACATGGCAAGCACATCCCGAACTGGCTGGAAGTAGAAGTTGGATGGGGCTAGACCATGAAGACAATGGGAGCCACTGCTGGCTTTTGAGCTGGGGAGTGCCTTGGCAGTGAGTTCCAGGATCTGGAGGGCAGGGTTATGTAACTGGCACCCCCAATTGAGGCGGTGCATAGTAAGGCTAGCACAGATCCAGGATGGAAAATAGCGGGGCTTTTGGGGTGAGCAGGGCTTCCTCCTGGGCCCTGAGAGCAGCTGCTGGCGTTGTAACCCTAGAGGTGGCCAGGAGACCTTGGAAAGGAAGGAAGGGCCTAGAGGTCAAGGGCTTCATCATGGCCACAGAAAACCAAAGTGTGGAGGAGGGCAAGAGTTTGTCCAAGTCACCCAGTAGGAGTGTGGCCGAGGGGTCAGGGCACAGACACACGGGTGTCCCTGCAAAGTCTTTGCACTGCAGCTGGGGTGGGCCTGCGCCTCCCCTAAATCTCCCTGCCCTGCAAGGAGCAGCTCCCCTCCTTCCCCGCACAGAGGCCACCTGAGCTACCTGTGGGCTGTGCTTGAGCAGATACAGCAAGGCCTCCAGTGTTGGGGCAGAGAAGAGGGAGACCATGTTGGGACCTGCTTCTTTCTCCCTGTTGCTGCATCCCCACCACAGCCCTGGGGGTAGAAAAGCACATTCTTGAGTCAGAATTTTCCCAGGGAGTCTGGCTGGAGCCCTGGCAAGAGAGAGCACCCTGTCTCCCCACCAACACACACAGACACTTCCCCCTGTTGCTTAGGGTTCTGTGGACGAGGTGACTGATGTAGGACAGGCTGGTCCAGACCCCTAGCTCAAGGAGAAGCTGGCCAGCCTTCCAGCCTCACAGTTCTGGCCATGTTTTCTGAGCTCTGCTCCCAGTGAGCCCTTTCTCCAAAGGGCTCTGCACTGGGTAACTCTTGTCCTCCCAAGGCCTCAGGCACCCCATCTGTGAAACCTGAGGGCTTCACGGAGCACTTCCGGTGACTCTGCAGCATTACCCTTGATAAGCCCCACACCACCCCATGAAGTGGTACTGTCATTGTCTCCATTTTACAGAGGGGAAACTGAGGTTCAGAGAATTTCCGTCACGTGCCCAAAGTTACCCAGCCAGGAAATGGTGGGCCTGGGATTTGAACCCAGGCAGCGTGACCCAGCCCTTGCCTGAGGTCCTTGCCATCATCCATCTCATTGATCATTAGGTCAGGCAGGGATCATTCTCCCTTTCCTACACAAGGGGAAACTGAGGCCAAGAAAGGCGACGTCTCTTGCCCAAGGGCACAGAGCTGAGTGGGTCTTGGACCCCGCTGGATGCCACATTGGCCAGCCCTCCTCCCTCTCCCCACGGACGCCCAGCATCTCTGCAAATGTGCAGCTGCCCGAAGGAAGTGCTGCAGGCAGGCCCTGAGGGGGTGAGATCAAGGGGTGAGCTGGGAGTGGCTATCGGCTCAGAAGTAACAAATAGCCTTCTTCCAGTGAAGGAAGAAGGGAAGTGGGAGCGTGCAGTGCAGCTATTGGGTGAAGAGAGCAGAGAGAAGTGCAGGGGCAGGGAGGTCGCCTGCCCGCAGCACAGAGGTCCCCAACTTCCCCTTCTTCGTGCAGAAGGCGGCGAGACGGCGGTGAGACAACAGCAGCTGCACAGGTCAGCCCCTCGGTCTGGGTCTTTCCATGCCCCACTCCCTCCAGATTCTGTCCTGACCCTTGGGTTCCCTAGCAGGCACTGGGCACGCCCCTGCCTGGGTGGTTGCTGGACTGGTGACATCCGTGGAGCCGCAAGGTGGGGACTCACCTTCATTCCCTTCACCAGTTCCTGGGCCCCTGATGACAACCCCAAATCTCAGGAATGTACAGATCTATGTTTTTGAAAAAAGGCATTTAAATTAAGGAGTGGTTGGGTGCTGGGCTCAAATATTTATCCCCCCCACCCCCCTACCCCATGTGGCCTGGTGCAAGTTATTGAACTTTGCTTTTCTGCACCTGAGTTTCCTCATCTGTAAAATGGGGCTAGTCCAGTAACCTGCACCTCAGGTGACAGAGGTGACGGCCTGGCACAGAGTTTATGTTGGGCAAATCAGAGCAGATGCGGTTCCTCTGAGTGACCTGGAAGGGAGCCTGGGGACAGTGTGTTCTCAGGCAAAGGCTCTGGACCTGGCTGGGTCACAGACCCCCTGTTGGGTGCTGGTGGAGCCTCCTTTTCCCTGCCTGTGAAATGGGGCTGATAATGGCACCTGTCAGGACTTTCCTGCAGAGACCACAGGTTCACTTTTCACCCAGGCCAGGGGGAGGCCGGAAGTAGGGACTTCAGCCTTTGGTTGGCAAGAGCAGTTGTTGGGAGGGGCAGGTGGGGCCCTATCCAGGAATGCAGTGGCTCAGTGGAGCCTGGTGCTGTTGGGGAGAGGGTGGGCACAGCCAGCTCTGGATAGGAAGGCAGGGCTTCCGAGCTCTCCCGCCGAGTGTAGTCCTGGCTGGCAACCTTGGGTCAGAGCCTTAGATTCCCTGGAGTGTGGATCATGGAAATGGTTGTTTGAGTCTCTCTCCCTGGGAAATAGATGACCTTGGCCTCATTTTACAGATGAGAAAACCTGAAGCACAGAAAGCTCAAGTTCCTTGCCTAAGGTCAGACCTCAAGTGCTGAATACTGGAACTAGTTATCGAATTTACATCTTCTGAAGGCTCTGTTCTGCTCTCCACTTGTCGCCTCATCCATACAGCAACTCAGCCACCAGGGCATCTTTAGGAGGCTGCAGTGCATTGTGGGAGAAAGCACTTGACTTGGAGTCTGGGTTTGCGTTTCGGCTGCCCACTGGCCTGCTGAAGAACCCCGGGAAAACCCTTGTGTGGTATTCAGTTTTGCCACGGTCAATGGAAACTTCTTGAGAGTCAGGTAAGGGATTTCTGTTTTCTAGAGGACCCCAAATAGCAAATCGCAAAAAGAAGGAGATGGCTGAGGGTGTGAGGTAATGGTGAGTGGTCGTCTCTCTGAAAAGATGAGGCGGGGGATGTTGGAGGTTGCAAGCAGAAGTGAAGATTGTGGTTGCTCCTGGGAAAGGGGGTGGAAACCACAGCTTCTCTTTGGGTGCTTGGTGGGGGGGATGTCACTTCTGCTTTGGCCTTAATTTCCCCAGCTGCAGGGTGGGGTTAAGCTCCTCTTCCCTCTGTGTATGGCTGGCAGAAGCATGGCCAAGGGCCTGGGGACCCCGTCTTAGGGTCCAGACCCTGGAGGTCAAATCCACATCACTGTCTGGGCCTCAGTTTCCCCATTCGTACTGTGAGGGGGTCTTTTCTACACTCTCGGGTTCTCAGTTTTCTCACCTGAAACATTCCAAATGGTTTCATTCAGTGGTTTCCTTTGTCCCCCCAAATCTTTTCCCTCAGTTGCTGAGGTTCTGAGAGGGTAAGTGAATTGCCCAAGGTAACACAGCCAAATAAATAACCTAATAGCCAAATAAATAAGAACCCAGCACTCTATGACTCCAAAGTCTTTATTCTCTTTTATTTATTTATTTATTTATATGTGTTATATTATATGTGTTATTTTTAACCTGTTCTTTCCGCTCAATGATATGCTGTGCTCCTCTTCTATGTGGCTATTTACATCATAATTCTTAATAGTGAAATGGCAATCCATCGTACTACATTTTTTTAACTTTTAATTTTGAAAAAATGAAAAATTCACAGGAAGTTGCAAAAAAGGTTTTGTGCGCGTTTCATCCAGTCTTCTTCAATGGTAACATCTTTCACACCTAAGGTACAATATCAAAACCAGGAAATTGACTTTGGTACAATTCACAGCTTTTATTCAATTTCATCAGTTTTTATGCACTGATTTGTGTGTGTGTGTGTGTGTGTGTGTTTAGTTCTATTCAATTTTATGACGTGTAGATTCTTGTCACCACCATCACAATGAAGATACAAAACTGTCCCATCGCCACAAGGCTCCCTAGTGCTGCTCCTTTACAGAAACACCCCTCATCCCTAACTGTTGGCAACCACTAATCTGTTCTCTGTCTCTATAATTTTGTTATTTCAAGAATGTCATATAAATCAAATCATACTGTATGCAACATTTCGAGATTGGCTTTCCCTTGAGACCCATCCAAGTTGTGAGTAACAGTATATTTTTCTAATTGCTGAGTTGTAGTTCATGGTACAGATGTACCTGAGGTTGTGTAACCATTCACCCATTGAAGGCACATTGGAATTGTTTCCAATTTGGGGCTATTGCGAATAAGGCTGCTATGAAGTTCTGCAACAAGAGAAGCCACTGCAAAGAGAAGCCCCCGCTCGCCACAACTAGAGAAAGCCAGTGCGCACCAATGAAGACCCAATGCAGCCAAAAATAAATAAATTAATTAAATTAATTGAAAATAAATAAACTATGTGTGTGCGTTAAAAAAAAAAAAAACAAAAAACTTAAGTGCCTGGTAGGGCTTGGTGACTGGTGAAGCTTCACCATAAGCTTGGTCCTGGCTGTTTTATCAAGGAGCACCAAAATGTCAGTAGCTACAGGATACTTTTCTTAGAATGGTCAGTTCTTCGGAGAAGAATTTTCTCCTGCCTTGAAGCATCATTGCCTGGCTGCTGGCAGTCTTCTGGAAGCTGATTGGAGGAGGAGGTGGGGAGGGGATATGGCTTAATTTTCCTGTACCAGAATGGCACCTTGCAGATTCTCTCTGGTGCACTGTCTGCAGGGAATGTACTTTGTGTTGGAGGGTAGGGTTGAGGATGCAAGGGTGGTGAGGAAGGTTCCTGGATGCTCCAGGTGGCAGAGGAGATCTGGGGACCCAGCTGGTCATTTTAAAAACTCACAACCAGCAGGCCCCCATTTTTAGCCTCACCCTTCATCCCACCTTCAGAGGTTCCCGATGCCTCCAGCGCTCAAGTGTTCCCACAGTTGTGAGGCTTGACCTAGCTGGCTTCCCCATGTCCCCTCCCCGATCCCCCCACCCGCTGTATTCACCTCTCCTTACTGCAAGCGCTTGGGTTCAACATCTTATGGTCTGCTAACTTTTGTTTTTTTAAGCAGGTGGCCACCTGCTTTGTGGCCTCCAAAGTTTCACTGATATCTCTCATCTGCTGTTGTCTCCTTTCCCATTATTCTGTCTTTCGTGGCTTTGTGTCTGTTTTATTCATTCACTCTCATTTTAGTGGAGTTTCGGGGGTAGGCATAAATTTGCTATGTTTAAGCAGAAGTTTATTAGTTCATTTTAACGTTAAAAAAAATTTTATTTATTTATTTTTGGCTGCATTGGGTCTTCATTGCCGCACACGGGCTTTCTCTAGTTGCGGTGAGCGGGGGCTACTCTTCCTTGCGGTGCGTGGGCTTCTCATTGCGGTGGCTTCTCGTTGTGGAGCACGGGCTCTAGTTGCGCGAGCTTCAGTAGTTGTGGCACCTGGGCTCAATAGTTGTGACATGCAGGCTCAGTAGCTGTGGCTCCTGGGCTCTAGAGCGCAGGCTCAGTAGTTGTGGCGCACAGGCCTAGTTGCTCTGCGGTATGTGGGATCTTCCTGGACCAGGGATCAAACCCACGTCCCCTGCATCGGCGGGCGGATTCTTAATCACTGTGCCACCAGGGAAGTCCCTATTAGTTAATTTTAAAACCGAGGGAAATGAGGGCAGAGAGGGACAGATTCTTTTTTTTTTTTTTAAACCAAAACATTGGATTTATTTTCGCAAATTTGAACCTGACATCTTAATTCATAGCTAACAGCTGCCGTAGATTCTGGCAGTCACAAAAATAAGTGAAAATGAAGAGAAGGTTGCAAAGTAAGTGTTGAACACAGTACTTAACAATATGTTCAAACCCCATTATACTTTAAAATGTGCTTTGGGGGAATTCTTTGTGGACAAAGGCAGTGGTTTTCCCGATGTCATCCAGCTGCTGTGATTCTTGGTGGCCTCTGACCTCCCACGATTGTCATCAAAACCAGCCTTCTCCTGAAACTCTTAGTTCTCGTCTTTTTCTCTGCTCCAACTTTCGGATTCCCCCAGCTGCTGCTCCTGGCAGTTTAATCAGAGAGGGACAGATTCTTGCCCGAAGTCACATGGTGGGTGAACGACAGGGCTGGACAGGATTAATGACAAGCAACTCCCAATGTTCCCCTGGGTAAGATCAGAGCCCTGGGGAGGCCCCCAGAGATACCATGTTTGGGGAGGAGGATGTGTCTCAGGCAGAGCTGCAAATGGTCAAGGACTCTGGAGTAACAGAGACGTGGCTTCAGGCAGCCTCACGCAAAGCAGGACGCCTTGCTCTCTGAGCCACGGTTTCCTCATCTGTGAAATGCAGGAGTAGTGAGGATCAAATAAGATGCTGCACGTCCTATTCTTGGGGTATGCCAGATGCCTAGAGTTAGAGGTGGCTCTTTTACCGAGGTGACAAAGACATGCACCTTTTCCAGGGTGGGAGCCAGTTCTTGGAGGAGACTCGGTACAGGACATGGATCGCTGCAGGGCCCTTTTCCTCTGCCTGTGCCTCTTGATGTCTCAGAGCAGAACAGAGGGTAAGAGGGCTCCGCTGAGCTGCAAGAGCCATCCTAGCCTGGACCCCTGGCTGTGATGTGAAGCGGGGAGGCCTCAAACCAAAGGAGATTGAAAAGGGGCACTTAGGCCTCCTGGGGCAGCAGGAGGCTGGGGCGGAAGGCCCAGAGGCCATGGGGCGGGAGGCGGGGCAGCTGCAGACAGAGACTGAGGCGGATGTCTGACTCTCTCCTCACAGAGGCATCCCAAGAAATCCTGCGCTGGATGAAGAGAATGGAGATGGCAGCCAGGAGCCGGAGCCTCACTTCTTTTGCTGAGTGAGTTGGGTGTCCCTCCTCTCCCTCCCAGAGTCAGCTGTGCCTCCACCCCCAGCTTGCACCTTGAATCCATGGCCCAGGGTTGGTCCAGTGTAGACTGTTAATTTATTTATTCAACACTCATTTATTGAGTAGCTACTGTGTGCCCGGCACCAAGCTCTGGAGATGTGGGATAGACACATCCCTGTTCTCATTGAGTTTACTGTCTGGTTGGGGGCCCTTAACCATGGATGCCATGAAACCAGGTGCAGAATCATGGGTCTCCATGCATTTTTCTGGGAAGGGGGTCCAAGACTTGGGCTGGGCTCTCCAGGGTCTGTGACCCAAAAGCCTAGTAGCTCAGGGTGAGAGGCCAATGCTGATGACTGACCAGGGAATCATAGGGCTGTGGAGCACTTCAGTCAGTGGGGAGCTGCCAGGGAAGGCTTCCTGGAGGAGGTGTCAACAAACTGGAACCCAAACAAGAGTTAATGGAAGGAGATGGGTGGGGTGGGGAGGTGAGAGTGTGCCAGGAACACTGTATGCAGAGGTCTAGAGGTGGGAGTGACAGGGGTGTGGGATGGGGGAGGCTGTGGAGAGTCCCACTCACCTCCATCCTTACCCCGGGCTCTGGCCATCTCTCTCACTTTCAGGCTCATCCATGGCCTAGAGTCAAGGCTACTCAATGCCAGCTTTGGGGGCCATAACCTCACTTTGCGGACGCATACCATCCAGACACTAGCCTTCAAGCTGGGCTGCAACTTCACTGGCCTCTCACTGAGAAGTGCTGCTCTGCAGCAGGTCCCCCAGGTCAGAGGTGGCCAGGGATTGGGGGTGGCCAGGGCCTCTACCCCAGAAATCCTCCGGGGGTTTAAGGTCTGGACTTTCCCCAGGGTCCATCGCCCACCTTCCCACCAATCAGGGCTCTGCCTTAATAGCTGTGAGTTGCCGCCTCTGTAAAATGGGGTTGACGTTCTTCATGTGAATGATGGAAAGGGGGTGCTTGTGGCCCCTCAGGGGCAGTGTCCTCTTCCTGCTTTTGCAGGTTCCTGGGGTGAGGCAGTCGTGGGAGAGGCCAGGGGAACGGGACACCTTTGAGGGCCCTGGTATGATTCCTGCTGAATACCTGGGTGCTGATGCTCCATCTTCAGGGCCCCAGCTGAGTGGAATAAATAACCCAAATTCAAGACCAGAACAGCCTGAAGGGAAGGCCTGAGATCGGGGGAAGTCTGGGTGGAGGTGCAGCCTGGCAGGAGAGGGTTCTGTGGGTGGAGGCTCCAAGGTAGGAGAGGCTTGGGGCAAGCCTGGGAGGGCTTCCTGGGGAGTGGGGAGCAGTGAAGGTGTTGTGGTGGGTCTGGGGGCTTCGGACACCAGGTGTAGCCTAGCTCTGGCTCTCCACAGGCCCAGGTCCCACTCGCCATGCAGTTCCCAGCTGAGCTGACTCATGATGCCTGCAGGGTGCGCCCCAGGGAGCTGACTCTCATTTGCATCTACTTCTCCGACACCCGCTTTTTCCAGGTCAGGGCCTGCTGGTAGGCCAAGCAGGATGGATGTGGGCTCCTTCTTGGGGGGGTCACTGCAGGCATGCATGCCACCTCCTGGCCTCTGGGCAGGGACCAGCCTACTGTGCAACTTCAGTCAATCAGTGCCCCTCTCTGGGCCTCTGTTTTAGCAAAATGGAAGGGAGGCATGATTATAATGTGCAAACGAGACCTAAGAAATCTACTGTTTGTGTGCCTCTCCCTAGATGGGAGATAGACAAGTAGGTCACAAGATCTTTGTCCTCAGAGAGCTCTCTATCTCAACAGTTAGACCAGGACCTTAGAGACTTAATTTTAGCTTGAGGTTGATTATAACCATAGAGATTCAAAGGGATGGATGAGTCAGGGTGGGGTCAGGATGGTTCCCAATGAGCAGTCCCGGAGGGCTTCTGGAGGAGGTGCCTTTTAACCTTGGCTTTGAAAGTGAGTTAGGGTAGGGTGACATGGAGGGTATGAGGCTGGAATTCATTTAACAAATGGGAGGTGACGGTGGTGGTAGTGAGAAGACGGGGTTCCAGGTGGAGGCGGCAGCATACGCAAAGGCTGTGAGGCTGGCGCAGCCGTACAAGTGAAAGCCATGCTGCTTGTTCTCATCCAGGGAGGAGGGGCTGGAGAATGGGGGCTCTTGGACCTCATCCAGGGTCTCCTCATGTCCCTTCCAGTCAGTGCTTCTTCTGTTGCCCTTCCAGAAAGACATCAATTCATCTGTGCTCAATAACTATGTTCTGGGGGCCCAGCTGAGCCATGGACAAGTGAGCAACCTCCGTGAGCCGGTGAACATCAGCTTCTGGCACAACCAAAGCCTGGTATTGTTGGGGCTACCCCCACATCCACCCCACCCCTACCCCCTTGTGGCTGTCCTGTCGAACACTGGTTTGATCAAACCCAGACTTGTGGAACTATCTTAGAAACAAGCTGCTTTAAATCTATCATACTTTGAAAATTCCTGCCAAAGAAATGAGAGAGAAGCTTTTACACACTGCATTCATCAGGATTCTTTGAATTGCACATGATAGAAAACCAACTCAAGCCAGCTTATTGGCTCGTGTACATGAAATGTCCAGGGCTGTTCTAGCTTCAGGCACAGATATGATGCCATAATGACTCAGTCTCCATCTCTCAACAATGGTTTCCGCCTTGGCTTTCCACTCTGTGGCAAGATGGCAGCTGAAGTGCTGGACCTCCTTCCCCTCTTCTCAGCAGGCTCTTTCTTGCCAGTGCAAACCAGGATCCCATAACGGATTCTAAAGGTCCAGCTGGGTCGTGTGTCATCCATCCCTGACCCATCACTGTGCCCAGGGGGATGGAACATGTAGATTGGCCAGACCTGGGTCACATGGCCCAGGGACTGGGCTGGATTCATTTGACCTGTCATTGGGAGAGGGATGGGTCCTCAAGGAAACTACAGATATTGATGCCGAAAGAAGGAAGAAGGGTTGCTGGGTGGGCACAAGCCCTGATGGCATTCCCGAAAAGCCCCAGAGTCTGGCCATATCTTCTGTCAGCCTCATCAGGACCGCTCTGCACTCCCAATTTCTCCACTGTCCTTTCCTTTCATTCTTCTGGGCTTTTGCCCCTGTTACATCCTTGCTCCACTTCTGTTGAAATCTGCTGTGTCCTCTAAGGCCTCAGGGCCCCGGTTGTCCCTTCCCTTCTCAGGCCTCCTCTGCCTTTTCCTCCATGGTCTTCCATGGAGTGCCTGTTTCATTTCCCTCACCTTTCCACCCACAGGGCTTGGCGTCAGGGTTGTCTGTAGATGACTCTCTCTCTCCCCCGCTGGGATGGGTCTGGACTGTCATTGCTCCCCATGGGGAGGAGGGGAAAGCGGACATTGATTATAGAGCACCTACTGTATTGGCCAGACTGGGCACTCAAGATTTCTCATTGCCTTTGATTATTCCACCATCCTTGTGACTTGAGTATAAATGACCGCATTTTGCAGATGAATAAACTGAGGCTCAGAGAACCTCTGTGACTTTCCCAGGTCACTCTCAGAGTCCGTTGGGGAGGTGGGGCTGGAATCTGGTCTGTCTGATGCCAAAGCCCAGCCAGTGCCTGGTAAAATGTTGACAAGGGTGCAGCTGAGTCACCTTTGGCCCCCACAATTTCCAGACCCTCCCTGATCCATGGCCCTCCCCTCCACCCCTTGGATGCACCCAATTCCAGCATCTCCCCTTAGGAAGACTACACGGTGACCTGTGTCTTCTGGAAGGAGGGAGCCAGCAAGCACCACTGGGGGGCCTGGAGCACTGAGGGCTGTAGCACAGAGCAGCCCTCACCTTCCCAGGTGCTCTGCCGCTGCAACCACCTCACCTACTTTGCTGTTCTCATGGTATGTGTGCATCTAGCCTGGGTGAGGGTGGTCAGAGCTGCAGAGGGCCCCATATCCAGGACAGAGGAGAAAGGCAAAAGCTGGTGCAGGGGGCAGAAAATCCAACTCAAATGGGCTTAAGGAAAAAAAAAAACCAAAACACCTTATGGGTTCATGTTCCCGAAAAGGCTGGGTTAGGCTTCAGGCATGTCTTGATCTAGGGGCTCAATGTCACCAAGATAGGACTCTATCTCAGTCTCTCAATTGTTCTTGCTTTGTGTTAGCTTAGTTCTCAGACAGGATCTCCCCATGGGCTTATAATATGGCTGCTGGCATTTCCTGTTTTATGTCCTACTAGGTTCAGGTCAGTAGAACGAGAGCTCTCTCACCGAATTCTGCCAGCCAAAGCCATAGGATTGAGTCCCACAGGCCTAGAGTGTGTCCCATGCCCATCCCTTAACCAATCACTGTGGGCAGGAGGAGGGAAGGCTCTGATAGGCCAGGCCTGGTGCACCTGACTACACATAGTAGGAGAAGTGGAGGGTCCACCCACGTGCGGGAGTGAGGGAGGGGAGGAAGGGGAGATGGGAGTTGGGAGGCAGAAAAGCCACTGTGTCTGCTGTGGCTGTTTTCAAGTCAGGACCATGGCTAGGATTGTAGGGTAGGGGGGCTTGAAGCTGAGGTCTTGGCAGGTGTCTTTGATTTAGGCAGTGGAGGGCATTTCCATGCTTCTGGCCCCCCTTCCCTCCCACAGCAACTCTCCCAGGCCCCGGTCCCTGCAGAGCTGCTGGCGCCCCTCACATACATCTCCCTGGTGGGCTGCAGCATCTCCATCGTGGCCTCGCTGCTCACTGTCCTGCTGCACCTCCTTGCCAGGTATTCCCCTACCCTCGTGCTGGGCCAGCCCACCCACTGCTGCTCAGCACCCCTCCTTCTTGCCCCCAGAGTCAGGTGGGCTTTTCCAGAGTGCAGAGGCTGGGAAGCAGGAGACCAGCCTCCTTGCGTGTGGCTGTTGTTGGGTCCCTGCCCCTCTCGACCTGTGTCCCGGTCATTACGCGTCTATGAGCCCAGGGGGTGGCGCTGCCTGGTGACGTCCGGTCACGGAGGGCCACGCCCCCACCCACAGGAAGCCGAGTGATTCCGTTACGTGCATCCACGTGAACCTGCACGCCTCGGTGCTACTCCTCAATGTCGCCTTCCTGCTGAGCCCAGTGCTGGCCGTGCCCCCCGTGCCTGAGTCAGCATGCGTGGCACTGGCTGCCACCCTGCACTACGGGCTGCTCAGCTGCTTCACCTGGATGGCCATTGAAGGCTTCAACCTCTACCTCCTACTTGGGCGCGTCTACAACATCTACATCCGCCGATACGTGCTCAAGCTCTGTGCCCTGGGCTGGGGTAAGCACGGTCTCCCTCTCGCTTGCTTCCTGAGGCTTCCAGCCAGACTGGGCGTCTGTCCCCTCCTGTCCTCTTTCTCCTCCACTGCCATGACCACTGGTCACCATCCCTGCCAGCACCCACCGCCGCTTCCTACATGACTATTCTTATCACCACTTCCACCTCCAAAGCATCTATATCACCACCACTTCCAACACCACCGTCACCTCCACCATCCTCAGCCTTGTGTTCACCACCATCTCTGGTACCACCATCATCAGCGTCTCTATCACCATCCTAGCCCGTCTTCATTATCTCTTTCCTCACCGGTTCCCAAACCCTCTCTCCCATTACCTTCCAGCCATCACCTCCCAGTGTGACCACTACTACTGCCGCTACTGTTCCACCCTAGAGCCCTCATTCATATCAGCCTTCTCTAAGACCACCAGGCTAATTGCTCTGAGGCTGGACCACGTGACAGCGGCTGGGGACTCAGAGCGATCTCTTTCCCTCCCCTCGCCCCACCCTCTGCTTGCCCAGTGGAATCCTGTTTTAGCAGCCCCAGGAACCCATGACCAGCCCATCTCTGGGGTCTCCTGACAGATACTGAGCCTCTGTCCCACCCCTCAGGGGTCCCGGCCTTCCTGGTACTGCTCCTTCTTGCCGTCAAGAGCTCAGTTTACGGACCTTACAGGATCCCACTCTCCGACAGCCAGGGGAACAGCACGGGCTTCCAGGGGAACAGCACGGGCTTCCAGAGCACGTCCATGTGAGTGCGCTCAGGGCTGCGGCAGCCTCCCTGGCTCTAGTCCTGGGGCTCTAGACAGGGTGCCTTGTAGGCGGGGCACTGACTGCAGGGCAGGGAGGGGACTACTGCTTACACGGGGCGTGGTTTCCAGGGGTCTTTGACACGCCCCTTCTGCTGGATCCCTAAGGTCTCCTGCAGGACGGGTTCACTCTCTATGCTAGTTCTAGGAAGCACATGGGCCTCCAAGGCCAGGCCGGGGCAGGGGGGCCTTTGCCCCTCCCGGCCGCTGGCGGCCAGCGCCCCTCTGGCTCTCAGGCCCTGCGGTGGAGCTCAGCCTGTGCCTGGCTCTTCTCTCTCCTCACCTCCGTGCTTCACTCAGGCGCTTGGCTGTGGCCCCCCCTGACCTGTGCCTGGCATGGCACTGCCAGCCCTCCAACCCTCCTAGTCAGAGAAGAGAGTATTGTGGGGATTGGGACACCACAGGCACCGTGTTCAGAGTGTATGTGGGGAGGGGGCCCAAGGCGGTTTGGGGGACAGACTCTGTCGCCCCTTCCCGTGCCCTTGGACATTAACCTCTTTCTTGTGATGAAATGTTTCTAACAGTCAACGTAGAGGGAGTAGCTTAACAACCCCCGGCAGACCCATCACCAGCAGTTGGCCGTCTGGCCTTTTTCCCTCTCCTGGCTGACACCAGCTCAGGACGGCTGAGGGCTGGTTCTGAATCCTCACAGCAAGGAGCAGGCCCCATTGTCAGCCCTTGTTTAGTTGGGGAAACTGAGGCACAGGTGGCTAAAGAACCCTGGCCAAGGAGACCCAGCCAGTTGAGGGCAGAGCTGGGACTTGGCTCTAGAGCCCGGCCCCCAACCGCTGCCCATCCCAGTCTCTGGGAAGTGAGGGCTCTGGGCACAGAGTGAGGCTGAGATGGGGTTAATTCCTCTCTGTGAGGGTGGGGGTGTTTTCTCAGAGCAAGTGTGACTTAGGACTCTTTAAACGTGTGTTTTTATTGTATAACACGTGACATGGCAAAAGAACTGCAGTGATGCTTCCACAGAACAGGAAGCACGTTAATGCAGGGATGTTAGCGAGCTCCCGCCCGAAGAACCATCTCCTTCCCGGTCTTCCTCACCTCTCCCTCTCCCCTCTCACCCTGGACTTTGTGACTTTTATTCTCCTGCATTTAAAAAACCCTTACTACATATATATGTCTTTTTAAAAAATTCTTTTACATTTTTTGTTTTATTTTTTAAATTGAAGTATAATTGACATATAACACTTCATTAATCTCAGGTGTGCAACATAACGATTTGGTTGTATATATTGCCAAATGACCACGACAATAAGTCTAGTTAACATCTGTCACCAGACATACGGAATTGATTTTTCTTGTGATGAGAACTTTGAAGATCTACTCTCTTCGCAACTTTCAATTTTGCAATACAGTATTGTTAACTGTAGTCACCATGCTGTACATGACATCCCCAGGACTTATTTATTTTACAACTGGAAGTTTGCAACTTTTGACCCCCTTCACCCGTTTTGCACCCTGTCCCCCCCTCCCTGGCCTCTGGCAACCACCAGTCTCTTTTCTGTATCTATGAACTTGTTTTTTTGTTTGTTTGTTTTAGATTCCACAAGTAAGTGAGATAATACGGTATTTGTCTTTCTTTGTCTGACTTATTTCGCTTCGCATAATGATCTCAAGGTCCATCCATGCTGTCGCAAATGGCAAGATTTCCTTCTTTTTATGACTGAATAATATTCCATTGTGTTTATGTGTGTGTGTATGTATATAGCACATCTTCTTTAACAGCGATTTTTAAAAACCTTGAAAATAACTCCAGTGCCCACTGACAGGCCACCGGACTAGTAAATGCGATAGAGCCACCCCTGTCAGACAAATCATCTGGCAGTGAAAAGGAATGATCCACCACCACACTCATCCACTTGGATGAACCGCCAAAATCATGTTCAAGGACTCTGTGACTGCAGTGAAAGGAGCCCGAGCAGGTGATCGTGACAGTTAGGGGCACAGGCTCTGTGCTTAGACCACGGGGCTTCAAGTCCCACCTTAGGCAGGTGTGCGTTTCTAAGCCTCATAGGGTCACCATGAGGATCGCATGGCTGATTCACGGAAATCACGTGACCTGATGGGGTAAAAGGCAGCACCTGCCTTGAAGGTGTTTGGGGGAAGCAGAGGCCGTGAAGACCTCACGGAGGGTCTAGGGCCAGGGCTGGGGCCACCGTCAGGGACCTCTCTGGCCTTCCCTCTGCCCTCGGCGGAGCTTTCCTGCTGCTCCCCCGGCTCTCAGTCCACACATGGAGAGCGCCCCTCCGCCAAGCTGCGAGTTGCAGCAGCTCAGGGAAGGGCCAGGGCCCAGTCCAGGTGGGGAGGGGCTCCTGGCACCGCTGCACGAAGATGGGGATGAGATGTTGATAATCGTGTGGTGGGTGGAAGGAGGAGTTTCCGGCAAAGAGGACCATGGACCAATGATGTAATCAATACCTTATAAGTTGACAGTTGGGCTGGGCGTGGAAGGGGGAAGGGTTAGATGTTCAAGGGAGGAGAGAAAGAGTTTTCAGGTGGGTAAGAGAGGGTAAAGGAGGCATGCAGAGGCTTCAGGCATGGGGCTGAGGTGGCAGGTGGGTCCTACCTGGTGGCCTGGCTGGAAAGCTGAGCCCAGGACTTCACCACGTGTGCAGTCAGGCAAGAAATGACGGGTCTGAGCCGGAAGACCGGACCAGGTTCAAGAGGCAGTCCAGAGGCCCAGGAGACCGTGGCTTCCCTGCCACCAGTCTTGGGAGCCACACCAACCCCAGCGCTTCGCCCCTCCCCTGCAGATGCTGGGTGCGGAACGCCTGGGTGCACGGTGTCCTGGTCATGGGCTCTGGTGGCCTCACATCCCTTTTCAACCTGGTGGTGCTGGCCTGGGCGCTACGGGTCCTGCACAGACTGCGGGCGCAGGAGAAGGCGCTGGGCCCCCGGGCCTGCTGGGATACCGTCACTGTGCTGGGCCTCACCGTGCTGCTGGGCACCACCTGGATCTTGGCCTTCTTCTCCTTTGGTGTCTTCCTGCTGCCCCAGCTCTTCCTCTTCACCACCTTCAATTCGCTCTACGGTAGGGCCTGTGGTTGACGTGGAGGAAACCCCAGGGGGGTAGTGTACAGCTGCTACATGTTTACTACTGAAGGGCTCCAGGTTGAGGGGGTGAGTCAGGGGCTGAAATCTGGGCCCTGACAAGCCGGTTTGGGGCTACGCCCGCCCATAGGAAGGGGCGCCACCTTGTAATTTGCACAAAGGCAGCCTATGGGCTAGCGGTGGCTGGTCCTCCAGCTCCTACGCCCGGTCCCTTCTGGCCTCCAACAGGAAGGGCTTCTGAGAATTACTGCTGGGCCTCAGGGAGGCCCCACTTACCCCAGCCAAGGAGGTGCCTGGATCTTGGAGGAGGCCCCACGCTGTTCCTGCGATGCTTCTACTAACCAGTCTTTTGCGTGCAGGTTTCTTCCTCTTCCTGTGGTTCTGCTCCCAGAGGCGCCGCTCAGAGGCAGAGATGGAGGCATTCAGCTCCTCCCAGATGGTGCAGTAGTCTGGACTGTCTGGACCTCCTGGCCTGGAGCCCCCAGCTTCTCTGGCTGCCTGCAGCCAGAGGCCCTGGCTTCCACTCGAGAAGATGGCAGGCCAGCTGCTGGACACCAGAGGCCACTGTCACCTCCAGGGGGCCTTTTCCACCTCCATGCCTTGCCCAGGCCCAGAGGGCAGCGTGTTGCTCTCCGTCCCCAGGCATTCTGCTCTGGGGCAGGTCCAGCCCCACCTGGGGGCAGCAAACTTGCCCCTGGTGCCTGGGCCCAGCTGGCCAGGCCTATGGCCAGAGCACTGGCCTGGGAGTCAGGAGGCCACGTTTCAATGCGTTTCTCTGAGTTTCACTGTCTGACCTTGGGCCTGTCATTTCTCACTGACCCTTGGTTTCCACATCTGTGACATGGTGGCAGATGGCTCTGGTCCTGCCTAATCCCAGAGCTTTATGCAGATTCAATGGCACCAGGGAGAACGAGGTCATAGTGGGGTGGGGATCCCCACCCCGGCCTGGGCCTGCCCTTGAAACACCTGCTGAGCCCTGCTTCCTTCCTCCGGGAGAGGGTCAGCCTTGGCTGGGGGTCCCCAGCCCAGCGCTTAGAGACCCACCCAGTGTGTGAGACCTCACCAGCCTGTAACTGAGGCCTCTTTTCCTTTAACCCCCAAATTATGATGACTCTAACTCCAAGCCCACCCTTCCCAAAGATCAGGAAGCCCAGTCCTTTCCAGAGGCTCCTCTTCCAGCGTTCCCCAGACCCCCATAGGCCGTTAAGACCAGCAGCTGGGGCCACAGGGCTTCCTGGAGGTGGGAGGGGAGCACCTCTTTCCCCTCCATCTGAGCTCCAGTCATCCGGCTATTTGATGACTGGGCAGGATTGAATTTCACCTGGTAGGCGTGAGGGTGTGGGTTCTAAATCCCAAGCTTGTTTGTCTGTTCTCTTGGAGTTGGTGGGCACCTAAAGTATTTATAAATTGGTATAAATTATACAAGTCTTTTGTCAGGCTTCCCATTTCAGTTTCCTTCCTGTTTGTTTTGTTAGCTGTCGCAGTTGTAGAAAATCACCATTGCCCTTGACCTGTCCTGTCAGGCCAAGTGGGAGACCACTCATGAAGCGAGCGCTCTTTCCCAGGCTTCACACCAGGGGGCCCTGTTGACCAATGTCAGAAGCCACTGGGTCCAAAACCATGTCTGGTGATGCTGTGGTTGCCTGTCTGTGGATATGACACACCAGATGGAGAGGCTCTGCCTCCAGGACTGCACCTGCTGGGCGACCAGCAGGAGGAGTGCTAGCACTGCCTACACAGCCATTTCTCTCTTTCCCAACGCAGCCACCCGCTCTGGCTCTTGGGGTCTCATGCTCTGGGCGTATGTGGCACTAGAGCGCTGGGCAGGGATAGGCTCTCAGGGCCCCGCTCCAGGCCATCAGATAGATTGCAATGACTTTGAACGTCACTGGGAGGGAGTTGGAGCCGGATCCCTTTTCTCCCAGGGGGATCCTCTGCCCTCTGTTCATTTCTTGCTATGAATAGCCCTTCACTAATTGGTGAGTGGCGCAGGCTCCGCATACTGCCTGGACTCAAGTGCCCGCTCTGTCACTTGTCAGCTGTGTGACTGTGGACAAGCCACTCCACCTCTCTGTGCCTGAGTTTTCCCATCTGTAAAATGGGGCAATAGTAGTACCTATTTTGAAGGGTAAATAAAATAACCCATATAAAGAGGCGTAGCAGAGGGTAAGTGCTCAGTAAAGGGTTATTGTTATCATTCGTATTTTGTTATTATTATTACAGTGTCAACTGAGTCTCAGAGGCCGACCCTCTAAGGTCCAGGTCTGCTCGGCCTCACAGGCCCAGCTCCTCGCTCAGCATATCCCGCTGTCCTTCGGCTGCGCTACCTCCTCTCCCCCTTTCCCCAGAGCTGCCTTTGGTCCAGCCTTGCTGGCCTTTCGTTATTTTAGGGACATTTCTCACACGGTACAGGCTCCAGGCCATTGCCACCTGTCCCCCTACCCCTCGGTTCCCAAATCCTCTGATCTATCTAAATTCTCAGGGGCTCAGTTATCATGCCTCCCATGAAATCTCTCCAGTTTTCCCACAGAGGAGGTCTCTCTCCCACTCCTACTCCAGCAGAGTGTCCCCCTGCCTCTCTCAGGGTGATGTGAGCCCCCATTCGAGCTCCCCTAGTTTGGCCAGCCCTAGCTTGTACTAGGCTCCCCAGGCCTTGGGGTGGGCCCCTGTCCCAATGCGGGTGCCAAGGATCATGGGCATGTCCGGCCTCTCTCTTGGGCAGCTCCGGGGAGCGGTCCACAGCCCACTGAAGCAGGGCCTTGCCTAGGACCCATCCCAGCCCAGACCTGGCCTTTTAGATCCTACCAAGCCCAGGGCTGCCCAAGGGAGGATGTGGCCACAGTGACACAGAATGGTTCTGGTAATTCTAGGAAACGGCCCCAGCTCTGTGGCCCTGAGCCTGGTCGGGGGTTCAGGCGCTGGGCAGGGACCACTTCCCGGAAACGCCCTAACCAGATGGGGGGCAGGGCTGAGGGAGCCGTTGATGGGCCTCGGTGCCCTCCCCTCATTCCCAGTGGGGTCCTGGACTTGCCCAGACTGGGCACCGGGCCCATCTGTCAGGGGCTTCCAGACTTAGTGGGAAGATGGAGCTGGAGGCCCCTAGGGCTCACTGCTCAGGGCCAGAGTCTCCGAGGAGGCCCGGGGTGAAGGATGACAAGTCGAAGCGAGAAAGGCCACAGACTAGCAGTTTCTGTGTTGCTTTGTTGCTGTTTTTTTTTCAGAAAGACAATGTGTGTATGGGGGGAGGAGGGTTGAATGAGGGTTGCCCGATAAAATACAGGATGCCCAATTTGAGGGACAGATACAAAAAAATGTTCACTGTTTATCTGAAATTCAAATTTTATCCTGTAGATCTCCATCTATTTATTTTTTTCTTTTCTTTATTTCTTTTGCTAAGTCTGGCAACACTCTTAGAAAGGAGCATTGGCTCTGGAGTCCGAGGTGTCCACTCTAAAGCCTTCAAATCGATCCGCCCTGTGCTGACTGGGGACCCCTCTGCCCACTGAATGAGCCCTGCACTCAACTTGAGCCTCCTCCTCCAGGGCTCCCATTGCCAGCCAAGGTTGCCACCAGGATGCTAAAGGGCTCTGCCTTGTGGTGCCCCTCCCATCAACCATGGTGCAGACCAGCCTCCATCTGCCACAGAGCCTCTTCACAGGCCTCCCTGCCTCCCCACTCCCAGTCTGAGCTTGACTCAGAAGCCAGAGGGAATTTTTTTGTCCTGTAACCTGACCATGTCCCTCTCTGCTGAAACCCTCCTTGTAGTCAAATTCCCCTCCGGAGCTCGAAGACCCCGGGGGTCTGACCTGTGCTCACTTCTCCCACCCGTCTCCCACCATTCCTTCCTCATCCTCCTTGCTTCTGCCACCCTGAACTATTAATACTTCAAGTTCCCCGAACAGGTCCTTTCTCACCTCCAGGCCTTGGCACAAGCTGCCTGGAGCACTGTCCCTCAGGTCTTTCATTTGCAGAAAGATGGCAACACACCCTTATGATCTCAGCTTTGCAGCCTCTCCTGATATCCCTGTGTCTGGACCAGGAAGCTGCCCCTGACCTGTAAAATCTAGGATGGGGCCTTCTCTCGCCTCCATAGCCTTTGCCCTTCCCCCATGACAATAGTTACTTCTCTCTCTTATGAACGTCTGTGTCATTTCAAAATTGAATGATCATCAGCAAATTTACTTCGACAAATCTTTAAAAATTGGTGGACTAGGGAGACAGATCCACCAGCAGCATGGGCTGTTTCAAACGCTTCTCTTCGTTATTGATGGCAAAGCTGAACAAATTAGCCAAGACGTGGAAGATTTGAACAACATAAGCAACAGACTTGATATAATGGACATTAATTGCATTTTGTCTCCCACGATCAGATTCTCCTTAAGCACTTATGGACTATTTTCAGAACTTCATAGTATACTAGATTAGAAAGCAACCTCCAAAAAAATTTCAAAGAATTGCTATTAGAGCACATTCTTTGACCTCAGTGCAGTGGAGTTAGTAATAACAAAAATATAATTTAAAATATCCCCACATATTTGAAAATTTATCACTGGGATAAACAAATTGACCGAAGGAATGGAAAAGAGAGCCTGGAAACAGAGGAGGCATGTGTGGGACTCTGATTTATGACAGTGGAAGCTGGCAGACCAGAGCGGGAGGGACCATGTGATTTAGTAGAGCAGGTAAAATTGGTTATATATGTGGGGAAAAAGTCCACTTGAATCTCTGCCTTACAGTGTACTCAAGAATCAGCTCTAGGGACTTCCCTGGCGGTGCAGCGGTTAAGACTCTGTGCTTCCACTGCAGGGGGCGCAGGTTTGATTCCTGGTCGGGGAGCTAAGATCCCGTATGCCACGTGGGGCAGCCAAAAAAGAAAGAATCAGCTCTAGATGGATTAAGGACTTACATGTCACAAGCACAACTTTAATACTGCGTGAAGAAAATATAGGTTAATATCTTTCTGACTTCAGGGTGGGGAAACAACTCTTAAAGAAAACACCAAAAAGGTGTTAACCATGATGAAAAGATGCAACTGACCACATTAAAGATAATTTCTGTTTGAGATAGAGTCACAGATGTAGAAAACAAACATATGGTTACCGAGGGGGAAAGGGGGGGAGGGATAAATGGGGAGATTGGGATTGACATACGCACACTACTATATATAAAATAGGTAACTACTAAGGACCGACTGTACAGCAGAGCAAACTCTTCTCAATACTCTGTAATGACCTATATGGGAAAAAAAAATCTAAAAAATAGTGGGTACATGTATATGTATAACTGATTCACTTTCCTATACATCAGAAACTAACACAACATTTTAAATCAACTATACTCCAATAAAATTTTTTAAAAATTAAAAATAATTTCTGTTTCCCAAAAGACACATGAAAATAAGTGAAAAGACGAGCCATATCTGGGAAAAGATGTAAGCACAGAGCTGGTATCAAGATCCCCTATGGATCAGTAAGAAAAGATAAACAACTTAAGAGAAAAATGAGCAAAAACCATGACCTGGCATTCCACAAAAGAAGAAATGGCCAGAAAACATGATGGGATCTTAAGTTCACTAGCGATCAGGGACATGGAAAGGAAGACCACAATGAGACGTTATTTCTTACCCAGTTGGCTGGTAAAAAGTGCGACATCTGACACTGTTAAATGTTGGCTGGGATATGGATCAGCAGGAACTCTCAAAATTGCTGTCAGGACTGTAAAGTGATTCAAGCCTCGTGGAAAAACAGTTTGGCATTCCTCTGTAAAGATAACAGTGGCACACCTGTGTCCCAGCCATTCCACTCCCAGGATCCTATCTGAGAGGAAGCCCTGCAGGTGTATCTAGGTACACATCTGAAAGTGTTCATAAGAGCACTGCTGGCAATCGTAGAAATGCTGCAACAACGTGGTGAATCTAAGACACGTGGTGCTGAGTTGAAAAACTCAAATCCCAGAGACTATACATGGTTTGATACTCTTTAGTTTTAAACCCAGCACAAGCAAATGATATCTAAGCATGTATACTCTACTAAGCTCTACAGACAGAGTGAGTGAGTGACAGCCACAAAGTTCAAGACACCTCTGGGGAGGGAGAGGGGAGGAGGGGGAAGGGTAGTGGAGGCTCCAGAATTTGGATTTTATTGGAAGGCAAAGGGGAGCTGGTTTCTGAGAAGAGTGATGTGATTCCAACTTTTTTTTTTAAATTTGAAATTAAGTTTATTTGTGCATTAAACAGTTACAGAATACCCATGGGACATTTTTAGTCCAACAATTAAAATTGCATTTAAAAGCCAACTGGAAGAGTTTACAGACCAAAAAGACATCTGGAGTAACTACTGTTCCCCTTTCCTTGAGTTTATATATATTTACCTTTTAGGCAAGAGAGAGAGAACTGTGATTACTTCGTACTCCAGGGGATGTGATTTCCAGTTCCATTGTCTTAAATGTGTATAAGATTCTTCTGTGGGGGCTTCCCTGGTGGCGCAGTGGTTGAGAATCTGCCTGCTAATGCTGGGGACATGGGTTCGAGCCCTGGTCTGGGAAGATCCCACATGCCACGGAGCAACTAAGCCCGTGAGCCACAACTACTGAGCCTGCGCGTCTGGAGCCTGTGCGAGAGAGGCCGCGACAGTCAGAGGCCCGCGCACCGCGATGAAGACTGGCCCCCGCTTGCCACAACTAGAGAAAGCCCTCGCACAGAAACGAAGACCCAACACAGCCAAAAATAAATAAATAAATAAATTTATTTAAAAAAAAAAAAAGATTCTTCTGTGAAGGCCAGAGAAGATCAAAGAATTTGATGTTGATTGGAAGAATTAAGAAGACAAGACTAACGGTTGGTTCATGGACCCACAATTTTACCACAAATCACTAGATGGGGTGGTGGGAGGGGTATTATGTTTCCCATCAATAAAACCTCAGGTATGTATTTTATTTTTGGCTGTGCCGTGTGGCTTGCAGGATCTTAGTTCCCTGACCAGGGACTGAACCGGTGCCCCCTGCAGTGGAAGCATGGAGTCCTAAGCACTGAACCACCAGGGAAGTCCCCTGAGGTATTTAAAGACTCCATAGATGTGGAGGGAATTCCCTGGCGGTCCAGTGGTTAGTACCCCAAGCTCTCACTGCCAAAGGCCCTGGTTCGATCCCTGGTAGGGGAAATAAGATCCCACAAGTTGCGCAGTGCAGCCAAAAAAAAAAAAGG